GGCTTTCCTTGTCTTTTCAAGTTTTTGGAATTTCTCGATACCTAGTGAATGCGTTTGTACTTTTTAAATTGGTACAAATTTTAAATGCAATTTAAATTCGTCCAAATTGAACTGAGCCCGACTTTTAGGAAAGTGTAATAAGTAACTAAATTTACTGTCACTAATGAAAGTAAATGATATTCAGTATTTTTTTTCAGGAAAATGGAAAATAATGAGTATAAAATTATACTTTCATATAATGGAACTTTAGTTTGCACTATTTTACATGACAACAACCACTATTTTGGCCATAAATATATGTGTAAAAATAAATAAACAATAGGGTTTGTAACAGTCACAATTTCAAACAAGAAACAAAATAGATGATAGGCACCAGCCAAAAGTGCAAACCCAGATTTCTATAAAGCAGGCTCTTCAATCACCTGGAACAACAAGCATAAGATCCCCCAGTTTGCTTTGGTTCATCGGTGCCATTACTGACAAGGGATACTCTATTGACGGATAATTCTGCTTTGTAAGAGTCAGAACTCAACACCTTCCTGCTGACATTATTATAAATCTCGCGGATAACAATATCGAAAGCTTTTTTAACATTTGTCGAATCCAATGCAGAAGTCTCCATGAAAAACAATCCTTCAGATTCTGCCAGGTTTTTGCCTTCCTCCACACTCACATCTCTGATATTTTCTAAATCGCATTTGTTCCCCACAAGCATCCTTGTCACAGTTGTATCAGAATGAGCTGTGCATGACAAGCATATCATGTCATCAGATACACAAAAGACGTTTGGAGTAAATCCAAATGGCATAGAATGCGTGTAATATCAAGTTTACTGCACTACAACCTTCAAGACAACACATGGATACAAGCCAACGTTTAGAACAAATAATGTAAACAAATAATGGGTTGTATTAGGATGGTCTTTTTATATTTCTTCTGTGTGTAGCAGCTGTCGAAAGGGTATGTTTCACACAGGAAGGCATGCAACTAGGAAGCAATAAAACAAAATAAATTCAACTGTTATGAACGGGTGAGATTTCAATCATTTTGGATATCATAACCAAGATACTTTCAGCTGCACATATTTGAGCTATATAGTTCTTGAGACGAGACATTTATTTTCATGTCCCTTTCACAAGATTCCACTCGGTATCAGATTCCAATACAATCATTATGGATTCATTTGGATACGTTAAGGATTTAAAAATAATATATTGTTAATGGAGCTTTCCAGTGCTATCTGAATGCAATTGCTTTCAATTCTCACACCCATGGGTTTTAAACTGCTTCTTGTGCCATAGTAAGGAGGGATTACAGATCCAAATACAGCAAGCCTAAACAAATAATAAAGAGTCGTGGATATAAGCGTAAACTCCCTAAGATAACAATCTTGACCAACGTTTATTTGTTGGCTTGTGTATGTCTCTTACTATTAAGCAATCATCAGCACCTTAAATTGTTATCAAGTATTAATTTGATATGCTTCTAGTTCCTAGTACAACTTCTCAAAATTAGATTTACGAAGACTTTATCATTCATAGTGGAAACGGGTGGAGTAACTTTCAATCGTCTCCACCTGTGATGCCGTAATTTTCTCTCTTGAAGAACCCACTGTGATGTATGCACATTGTCAACTAGTAGCTTATATGGATCATATTTTAATGCTAGCAAAGCTGGGCAATTAGTTACACTTTTAGGTGATTTGACCCTTTACTAGCACTAATAATATAATAAAAGACAGTCCAATGTAGATGATTGAACACCGTGGATGTTGAAGACCTTGCCTCCAACATGATGATAATGTAGCCCCGTAACACAAAAATGCTAAACCACAAATGTCGTCCCCTGCCCCGTCCGCCTTGTTACGGCATAATCTAAAAGCCAAAACAACAATCACACAACTATTGAATTTCCTCAATAGCTAGCATGTGGCACAATACCAAAATGCACAAGGAATCCATTATCCTGCCTTGGAGCATTTCCTGCATCTCAACACACCTACTATCCTCAAAAAACCCAACGAAGCAAATGGAAGAATACTAGCTCGAACGGATTGAGAATTTCTTCACACCCCACCTACTTTTTCTTTTCGGATTTCAAGCTTTTTCCTTAATACAGTTTTTAGGTTCTTTTTATTATGTTTTTCTTCCATGTTCTATATTTCTTAATTCTAAGTTGTTCAGATGGAGGTGACCAAGTTCATCGGAGACCAAATGGAATAGGAACCTGGTCAAAACTAGAACCAAAATCATAGTCCACGGTTTCCGAACCATAATCGGGCCAACAATTCTGAAACAGGAACTGGTGGTGTTTTCAACTTATTTTTTCTTTACTATGTTATACACTGTATAATTATCACTGTATTAAAACTCGGCCTAAACGATAGGCGGCAACTAGGAGCCCCGACTTTTATCTAGGCGGTGGGCTAGGTGGTTGTTAAGTTTTAGGCTGACTAGGATGGCGCCTACGCGGTCTAGGTGTCGCGTAGGATAATTATAAATAATTTATTAATATTGTCACGACCACGCCTAGGCGCAGTCTAATCCCAGCTTAGGTTTCAATCCTACCGAGCGCCTAAGGACTTTTGGAACATTGATAATTATATGTTGATATTGTAATAAGTCAAACGCACAGTTATACACAACTAAATGTATATAAACTATACAATTAAGTCATACAAACATTTAAAAGATGTTAAAAAAAAGGAAAATATAAATATGGATAAACATCATTTCACATTATAAAAAATATTAATTCTTCGTCTACATCTCTCTCTGAAGATTTCTTTTCCAAATGAGACCATATCTAAATGCACCCTAATATTTTGTATGGAGACCAAACCAACCCAGTTTTTAAATTGATTGATTTCCACGTTTGACGGCTTAATGCTAGAAAATATGTTAGACCTCTCTTGCTCTCATGCAAATTAGTTGTTACATATGAATTATGGATTCTAATAATTTTTTATTTCCAAATTTTAAATTAATTATGCTTAATTATTCAGGGTTAGAATAAAAGGGTAGGCCAAGCTTTTTATTTTTTTCTCAAATCCTTATTTTTTATTTATTTAAGTGGGAATTGAGTTTCTTAGACACTGAAAGATAATTAGAAGTTAGCAAAAATCGATTGCTTTCGGCAGGGAAGTTATAGTAAGATCAGCAAATATTGGTGCTTTGCTTAGGGTATTTGAATTTTTTCTTTTAACACCTTATATAAAGTATGTTTTATTTAGATTTCTTATGCCCATAAACCCTTGAGCCTACCATTAGGTCATGTTTGCGAACGCTTAAAAGGCACATTTAAGAAAAAGGCACAACATGCAAAGTTATTTGGCCTCTTGTGCTTGTTCAGGTTCTAAGAAAAACTCCGGCAGATTTACTAGGGCCATGAATTTATATACGTGTGGAGAAGGACAGTTAAGTAATTTTATGTGTTATCCTACTGTTCTATGATTGAACCTTATCTGAGGCTAATAAGACACTGCAAACACCTAAAATAATCTGTCTTCTCCATTATGCATAGTGTTTACCGAAACAAGAATTAATACACTTATGTTGTAATGGTTCGCAAACATGGGTGTAGTAGAAAGACAACTGATCTCAAGTTAAATTTCAAGTGAAGCTTAAGAAATGAAATGTGATTTGTCATTCACAACAATGTTTCTGTCACTGCAAATCCACTATTCATTCAAAGAGAATATATCTCTGGCATATGAATTTCATCCTTTGTTTACTATTCATGGACTAGTGTCATGGTATATCCAATTGACCTTTTAAACTGAAAACAATTAATAAGGTCTCAATTAACTAAGGGGGCATCCTCATTCGTGGGATGTGGATTCACTATAAATAGGCATCCAGAGTCTTAACTACCGCATTGGAGATAATTTTTGACAGGTTAATTATATATGTGTTAAACATAGTAAAAAAACCAAAAAGAGTAGTTCAGGCCCACCTAACAAGTCATAACTATTTGCAATATCCCACATTTTCCACACATTAAACGACACTAAAATGGTCAGATCTAACTTTATTTTCTTCTCTGCCCAGGCTGTCATTCATTGACAGAAACACTAGTTCTGGCCGAGCATTAGCTCCAATTTTCTCAAGCAGAAAACAGATCATTCGTGTTGATATAACTACTATTTTTTTTTTTTTTTGAATTATTTATTTCTAGAAACTCAAATGACACAACTTGAAAGATAACTCCTAATGAATCGAAACAAGAACCGTAAGCATTAACATAAATCAAACTCTTACAATAGCACGGTTCCCTTCCATTTTCCAACCCAAACACAGCTACTTTATACGTGATTTCAAATCCAATTCAAATCAATACTATTCTGATACAAAACGATAAATCGAGAAAAGGTGGGTGTAAAAGAGAAAGAAAAAACATACTCTTGAGCTCATCGAGCCATCTGGGAATACTATCGAAAGTTGACCTTCTGCTGATGTCATAGACGACGAGAGCGCCGAACGCGCCGCGGTAGTAGGCGGAGGTGACGGCACGGAATCTCTCCTGGCCGGCGGTGTCCCAAATTTGAGCCTTGACTTCCTTGGCGTTGATTTCGAGGGTTTGGGTCTGGAACTCGACTCCGATGGTGGTTTTGGAGTGCAAGTTGAACTCGTTTCTGGCGTAGCGGGAGAGCAGGTTGGATTTACCAACAGCCGAGTCGCCGATTATGACGATCTTGAACAAGTACTCCTCTCCCTCCTCGTCTGAAGAAGAACCCATTGATGAGAAACTCGAGATGACGATGATGATGATGATGAAGCTAATTAAAGGGAGATCACAACACAACTGGCTTTTACAACTGGCTTTTAATATATGAGTGTGCTATGTCGGGTAGGTAGGCCCATCGCGCTGCAAATATTGTAACCGTTATTTATCAACCTCTAATAACAACAGTGCCAAGGAGCCAACCATCAATGGAACAGTTCCACGTGGGGCTGTCCCACATTGGAGTTATTTATCAACCCCAAGTGAGAGCCGAACAACTAATGGGACAGCTCCATGTGAGACTGTCTCACATGCTCCAATGTGAGACAACCCCACATGGAGCTTTCCCATTAATTGTTGGCTCCATAACAGAGCCAACAGTTGACTCCTTAGCTTTACTAAAAGTAATAAACAAATATTAAGTAACATAAAATGATTTTGAATATTAGTATTAATTTCTATCTTTAATTTATATTTTTGTGATGTATAATTGTTCAATATATAATTTATATATTTATCTCACTTGTTATTACTATTATTCTAGAGTTCATGTTTACAATCAATAAATATAAAAAATTGACATATTCAAACATTACCAATAAATTATACACACAAAAATAGTTATCTCTCTTCATCTAACCTTACACATACCTTATTACATTATATTATTTTAATTTCTAAGAGGTGACGGTAAAGTTGAAAATTTGTGGCAAATAAATCGACACTTAATAACGAAAGTAGTGTGTATTATCTTAAAATTGTAAAATTTACTAATCACATCAAAATTGTTGTGTTGTTTATTTATAATTTATAAAAGTGTAGTTTATAAATATTTTAGTTTTCTTTCTAATCCAATGTAACGCCCCGCTCTAACTTAATTATCAGAGTGCGTTTTAAAAATATCTTTGTAAAATAGTTTGAGAAAAATGATTCGGACCGTTACTAAAACATTTATTTTATCTTTTAGAAATCCGTTACGACCGTTTAAAAATTTACAACAAAAACGGATTTACATAATATACAATCCGACTATGAAATCGGATAAAAAATCAAAGTTTGTCAAACAGTAAATTCAGCGGAATATAGCGTGATAAAATATACAACAAAATATTTAACTTCGATCCACCCGTCAACTTCACAGCTCCGGACCGACTTCATGACCTGAAAAATTTTGATAAAATGGGGTGTGAGTACCACTGTACTCCGTAAGAACTCATACTAAAGTAAACAGCAATCATAATAGTAACATCATGATCAAAAGCATATAACATAACCGTGAATTTCCTGGTCTACAGTGTAAACCGGACCGGGATCCGTGAATCTACCGGCTGTCATGATGATAATGATAATGATAATGATGATGACAATAATAAGCCGGAATCCATGTGCACATACTAGTGGTAGATGACGCCACTAGAACTTAGAACGGAATTATGGCAACCTGAACCGGCCAACATCCATTCCAAGCGGAAACATAATTTGACATACCTTGAACATGATATCGTAATTATAATCAATGTAATACCCAGTCTGAGTCCCCACCTGTACTGAAGATATGAAACTGGAAGTGTTGATAGTCGTGAACTGATCAAACTGTAACATAATCTAAACATTTACTAAGTGCTATGCTCAGATTAATAAATTTAAATGTTAAGATGCTCGACTCGACTTAATATGATATCCGGATATAACGGAAAACAATAAGGGTTCACAAAATATTTTTAAGTCCGGAAATTACACTGATATGCTTAACTGATCTGGTTCGGCTCGGAAAATAATTTAAATTTCAGAATAAAACTCGGACCGAAAATCACGAACCAAGACTGACTCGAACCGCCGACTAAATAGGCCGGTTCGCTAACTAGATGAACCGGGTCGGGTTGAACCGGACCGGGTTGGACCACCGGTTCACACTAGACCGGGTGGTCACGGGCTGGCATGGCTCGGTCCCGTGCCGGGCCTGCTGGGCCATGGCACGGCACTGGACACGGGTTAGGTATGACTGGCCTCGGCACTAGGCACTGCTGGGCGCGGTGATGCGGATGTGGTCATTGACCCCGGCGAACCCGAGGGCGAGAGGCTAGGCGAGAAAGGGCTCGGGCACGGGCTAGGAGGGTGTGCGCACGCACTAAGGCGCGTATACCGGGGGGACGCGGCAACCGAGCCGCGAGGCGTGCGAGCCTAGGCCGGGTGAAGAAGAGGTGCGCGACGAGTAGTGCGCACGAGCACGAGGCATGGGCCGATGACGAGAGTGAGGCGATCGTGCCCGGGAAGGTGGGTGATTGGTGTAAGGCGTGCGCAAGAGAGCGACGCGCACGGCGAATGCGAGCAAAGGCCAATGGTGCACGAGGGGTGGATGTAGGGCGAACAGCGTGCACGGGGCGTGGCTGCGAGGGAGCGGACACGCGAGTGGATTGGGTTGAGGCGATGGGCCCGATAGGCGGGTGCGAATGGATGGAAGCCACGCGCGAGGCGTTAGTCGAGTGGGTCGACGAGGGCGATGAAGTGGTCGTGCGCGACACACGCGCACGTGGCTGGGACGCGACCAACGCGATGGACGAGCAAAGAGGTGAAGCCGTGCGAGCGGGAGTGCGAAGCACTCGCGCGGTTGGGGACGACGCGCGAACAGGGGCACGCGGTCGGGCAGCGCTGGCAAGGGGCGACGCGTGGGGATGGCGCGCGCGC